GCAATGAATTAAGGCTGGTCACAATGTGCCCTTTTTCTTTAGGATAAGTTTGATTTTTTGTAAGAGACAATATGATTAAACACACATACCACATATAAGTACACTCTTTTGACTCATACAAATATACATTTAGAACTAATACCTACAAAATAGTATTACAAATGAAATAAAAACCACACGGTTCTCAATAGAATCACTCAACAAGTTTTACAAATTCTACGGAACATTTTGTCTTTGTCATTGGGAAAACAAACAAGTTAGAGCATTATTTAAAACTGTATGTAGCACAGGAGCCACCAATAAGTTATGGAAAATACATCATCTATACCATAGTGTCACTGAAATCTAGCTGAAAAGAGTAAAGTGCTGCAAAATAAAATGTTTTTTAAAATCTTGTTTAGCAGATCCTGAGGGTCACTATGCGTCATTTTGTATTAGCAATTCAAAATGTAAGCACTCAGCCCATGGAGCCCCATTTGGATAAGTGACTAAAAGTTAGAAGATCATGCCATTGGATCTATAAAATAGAACTGAAAAAATCATGACAGCATTCATTTCCTGAGACTTCCAACTTTCCAGTCTGGAACCCTAATAAAGGAGAACCTAAACAGGTTACCCTGGCTAAAATATGTCAGAACTCAAAGAGCATACAACAACTTTAAGTGAAGATGCCTGTTGGTTTATCATTTATATCACATCCAGCTTAGATTGTCTAGCTTTAAGGAAAATGGACAAAGTAATTAGACTATTACTCTGAGGCATTTCTTATATCCAAGGGCCTCATTCTTCATTAGTTTTTGAGTGTTTTTTTTTTATCTTGAATATTTAAATATTTGAAATATCTTTATGCCTATTAATGTGGGAGATATACATTTTAAGAGTTAAGATGGCAGTACTATCAGGTTGAGTGATAGGAGTGAGATTTCACTTGAATAATTTGTCTGTGTGTAGTGTGTGTGATGTGCATGTTATGTATGTACATGTATGTGCATGTCTGCACCTATGTGTACACACATATACATACCTGCCAAATGTTTTATGCTCTAATACATTCACTATTAGGCAGCTCTCCATGTTAAGCGCATTTTCCCAGTATGGCTGAAAGTGAATATTGAGGTCATTATATAGAATATCCTAAGGCTTTAAAAAGATGCCTCCTCATTCCTTGCATTCATATAAGTATGTAGTAATAAGGGAGACATAAATGATCATGGCAGGAGAAGTATTTTCCACATGTAACCTTCAAAATTACAGACCAAAACCCAAACCCACTGCTGCCAAGTCGATTCCACTCTTAGTGACTCTATAGGACAGAGTAGAACTGCCTCATAGGGTTTCCAAGACTGTACGTCTTTGTGGAAGCACTTCTGCCACATTTTCTCCTGCAGAGTGGCTGCTGGACAACTATCCACCTTTTGTTTAGCTGCAGAGCTGCTTT